AGACGCGTGATACACCTTTATACTTGACGATCAGATCTAACAATCAATGACGAGGAAGAATGCTGGATTCGCGACAAATCGATCGTTTGCGGTAATCCCAGGATGAGAAAGACCTGATAAGACCGGGTCGGCCAAAACCGATGGCACATTCAAGCGTACTCGACGTTCTACCGCGCGCGCGTTTGTGATCCTTTACGTAACTTCCCCGAACCATCCATCGTTCAGAAGTTTCCAGGCCGCGGCTGGATGAGTTTTCCTCCAAAGAACTTTTCGAAACTCGCAACGACGCGCGAAACCTTCCAATATGCAAGCGAAGAAGATACCCGGACGCCATTGCTAGCCGTTCCCAAAAGACGCCCGCCGTCGGAGTTTCTTCACTCGACTAAGATCCGCTCGAGAGGAAAAAATTCTCGTTGAGATATTTTCCGAAAGAGTCGCGATATATCTCTTTTTTTCAAAATTAAATATTAATTTAACGCGCGTCTCACTACGTTTAAGTAGAAATCATTAAGACAAAAGATCCCATTAAAGAATTCCATAAAGAATAAATTGTTTAACATGCAAATTATTAATATTAAAATTAATTCACGCTATTTGATAAACGTACGCCATCTTTAATTGAATAACATTATTAATTTGCAGAAAATTACATTTATTGCGCTTTAAGAAAGCAATGATCAATAAGAGAGTTGCTTTTAAATTCCAAAGAATTTGATATCGAAAAATTAAATATATATACTAATGATTTTCTTAATCAATAACGGGAGAATATGCAAAATATCAGTTAAATGTCAGATTGCAATAATACAAAGTTCGATTCTCGCTTCGTGTCAAATATTCATTACACGGAAATTGTAATTTGGTACATCGAGAATTAGGCACGCGCGTTATTACGCGCGCGTTTTGCCCGTCTAATCAGAGAGCGACAGAACTTCCATCACGGAATCAATCCAGCTTTTCCGCACAAACGATCGCTTCTGAAGACTCGTGAATGGCGCGCCGTGATCTTGCAAATTCCCGTACGTATTCTGTGCGCTCTCCGCAAGCGGGGACGGAGCGCCAGAAACGATGGAAGGGAAACTATCTCGGACCGGTGTGGAACTTTCCGCGGAGGCGCAGCAACTATTCGAAGCGGAGTCGGAACGGGATTCATACACGCACGTGGAAGTTGGTCAGATTCGCCGAGCGCGTGTCATGCGAATCGGCTTCGTGCCCCCGAAGAGAGAAACGCGCGAGATTCGCGCGCGCGAGCAGGAGATGAGAAAGATATGGGGGTGAAAGAGAGAAGGGGGAGAACCTTACTGGCTGAGTTCCGGGCGCCGTCTGATGCGCCGGATTACATCAAACTGGCATAACACACACATCCGCCTCGGCTAGCTGACTGGCGAACTTGCCGCTCTTGAGACTTCACCCGGAAATTCTCCTCGTTCGCTCGAGAGGAAACGTGGCTAGGGTAATTGCATCTATCCAAGCATGCCGTAGGAGACGGCAGATTGCGAACTTGGCCAACTTTGGACCACGTTGACGCGAGATTCGTTCGTTGTTTCTCTCTCTCTCTCTCTCTCTTTATTTTCTTCTTTTATCAAAGATAATGCCAGTGTGTAATCAGGATTAGTCGCAATTTTTATGTTAGTTTGACGGAAAATCAGAAACGGCTCGTTAGTCACACGATTGACGTGACATTGCTGATTGCGAGAGAAAAGGACAGTTGGCTTCTAGCGTTCATCAATAGAAAAACGGTCTGCACAAAAGCATAGCGTTGAGTAAATTTAATTTGTACACATTTAATCTGCTTTTCTGGTTAATCAATGAAAATGTTGCATCTATATTATTTTACATATTTTTAGAAAATTGTTATGCGTTGAGATTATTTTCTGTTTGAGAATAATCGAAGGTGCAAATCTTTTGTGAATTAAAGTCAGTTATGGGATTAAGCGACGGATAAGTCGACGGGAATCGTACGATCAATCGACCGTTTCTCGACGGAAGGACAGTCTCTTTCTCAACATGTTCCGAGTCTTCCCTCTACTTCTACTTCGTGGAAGACATTCCGATTTCCATAAGCGACGTCCGGCGGAGACGTTTAAACGACGCCAGGCCAAACGCGGGTAATCCACCGTCAAAGCGCACGCGAGCATACGATCCAATAAACGATCGACAGTGGAGTTGTCCCTTTGACGTGTGTTCATACATGGCTAGGCGAAGTCCTCCTTTTGGAGCACGGTCGTCGGGGAAGACCGACTTGTCGTCGGACAAGTAAGAACACACAGGTCAGTGTATAACACATACGCGTCATAAAATATACACGCACACCCACAACGAACCGAAGAACGCACACTCTCGCCAAGAGCAATGTGGTCGCAACTTATGAGCATTCCCGTCGTACATTCACCATCGTGCAAGAGGAACGAGCTCTCACGTGCAGGCCACGTGTACAAACACACGCGATATGAGCTCTCATTCCTCCTTATCATCCCACACAAACGTAGACTCTGCGCGGGGAGAGAAGCTCGCGGAGGGAAAATCCTTTGGCCAGCGAAGCTTGGATAATCGCGCTCCGAGCTATAGACGCCTCTTCTCTTCGTCGCGGTAAGGACGCCGACAAGGAGGGAAAAGAGGATAGAAAGACGAGAGGGAGAAAATGGGGAAGGAGAGGGGAGGGGGGAGGAAAAGCTCGCTTTGCTGCAATCGCAGTCTGCCCATCCACGTGGAAATCATAGCTCGCTGCGGGAGCCATCGGGACTCGAAATTGTCCGGAAACGTTTGCCGGGCTGTTCTCGGCGGGGTCTTCTTTCCTCCCTCCATAGCGGGGAAGGATAGAAGGCGACAGCCAGCCGACTGCCTCTTCGGGGATTTGGGCATAAAGAGACCTCCCGGAAGATTGTCTGAGGATCTCTTTATAATTCGATGGCAACGCTCGGGAAGACGTGTAATGTCAATCGAACGCAGATCGAAAGCGGACGTGTTTGAAAAAAGTGTTACGATCATGGAGGAAGAAATTTGAAATTGTATTACTATCAGAAAAAAATTAGCATTAACTTTAAAAATGCGTTTTTATGATTCAATCACAATTGATTCTGGAACTCAGAAAAATGCAAATAGCTATATATAGATTTTTTTAAAGACACAATAAAACACAAGGCTTTTTAATAGAAGGTTCTTAAAAAATACTATATTAATTATTAAAATTAATCAAACTTGTTTAAATATCTGTAGAGCTGTGATGCAATATTTAAAGCAAAATGTGAAGAAGATATCAAAGAAATTTATCTTGAAAAACACGAAGATAATCAAAGAACAATTAAATAATAGTTTATTCTTTAATATAATCAAATCTGAAAAGATATAGCTGCATGACGTTAGAAAAAAATTAATTTGTTTACTTGAAAAATTAATACTTGAAAAATACATCTGTGTATTACTTTCAATATATTAATCGTTTATAAAACGATCAGCGTATAATTATGATTTTATGTAATTTTTTAAAATAAGGCTACATAAACGTAACGTTAGTAACAAAATTTATTATTCGAAATCGAAAATGGCTAGAAGGAAGCCATTTTCAAAATGTGTTTTAAAGAATATAAAGATTCATATATGTGTAAGTTCCCGATCGACAAACGCGTAGCCGGCCCGAACGAGAAATATCAAATGCGGCGTAATAAATATCCTCGTCGCTTCCGCGCGTATTTCGTCTGAAATTTCTCACGGTATGTCTACGGGAGGATCCGAGAATGATCCCCTTAGGGGTCAGGGACCCGGCGTGGAAGTGCCATATCGCGGAATCTGCCGACGAGCAACAGCAGCAGCAGCAGCAGCAACAGCCGAGCGCGAGGTTTGAGGTTCGCAGACTCTCGTCGTACGAGGACGGTATTGGATGTCATCACGAGAGAGATTACGGGCTTTGAAAGAGCCGTCTATCTCACTTCCACTTCCATTCATCCTTCTTTCTCCATCCACCACCATCATCCCGTGCGCGTCGCTATTTCAGTTACTCCTACAACCCCCTTCGTCATTCGTTCGTTGTACGATGTGCGACGCACATTCGAAGCGTCTCTGTCCCTCCCCGACCCCTTCCAACAACTCTCACGGGATGGAAGAAACCCCCCGTGGCACTGAAGGGAGAGCCGGCTCTCATATCCCATTTGCCCCTATTTTTCATAAGCGATATTAGAATCTATCATCGAAGAGGCCCGGGCACAGGCGCTCGCCTTCGCTCTAGGATCGAGAGCTATAGAAAAGGTGGTAGGTACCGATAAAAAAGATAGAGGGACTCTCTCCCGATTATCGGAGGGGTGGGATACCGCGATCGCTGACGATTATCGACCCTATTGAAAGAGCGATGTGAATGGATCCAGCGAGATTGCAAGGTACCGGGCTATGTGCTCCCTACGAACGGAGAGGAGCGGAAGAGAGGAAGGTTGAGGGAGTCGAGAGATCTGCCCTATATATTATCGCGGCCGCGCGATATTTCATTCATCGCGACCTCTCGATCTCCTCCGCCCTTCTCTCAGCTCAGTCGATTTTCAATTGAGCATGCGCTCCTCGCGCGATCTCAATAACATTTTCATCTCGTTCCTCCTTCTCGTCGTTATGGCAAGCAAAGTGCCGCTAGTAAAAATTTCTTCGTCTCGCACGCCTTGTCGAGGATTAAGGGTTTTTAATCCTGATAACTTTCTAATTCTACAATATATCAAGTTATAGCAAGAGAACATACAAAATATAAAATAAAGATAGAGAAGACTGAGAAAGGATGAAATATATTTTCTACTGCAAGCATTTAAAATTCTTTGATACTTTTACATTATCATGACAAAATGATTTTAATCGATTGGATGGACATTGGTACATTGCTAATAACTCGTAATATTTATCTTACGAATAATTAAAAATTAATCTTTTTGCGAAAAATGTTTTACATTTTTATATTTCTTATTGATTTATCTACAAAAGTGTTCTATTATATATTATTATCAAGTTGCCAAAATAATCATTAATCAGACTCTGTATTTTCTATGCAAAGCATCAAAAGCAGAATTACAATAAAAAAAGCCTAACAAGAAGATACATCTATATCTAAGATACGTCTAACATCATTTTTTAAATATAGAAAACATTTATAAATATTGTACAAAAATTCCTAAACCACATGATGTTTAATATTCTTAAAGCTTCAAACGCAAACAGAATAATTTTTTTAATAATGATCTCTTTTTATTCTGTACCAATTCCTTTGTACTTCGTGATAATTTCTCCTTCGTAATTATCAATCCGTGAGCCGTAAATTCACCAAATACCGTGACGATTTGCGTACGCAGCATATTCCAAATTTTGTTTTATTTATCTTTCCTCGTATTTATCGCGGCTTTACCGTGATTACTAATTACAGCCTTTCAACTCGAGTCGTTAATTACCTCACCGGCGAACATTATTGACTCGTTAAATAGGATAGTTCAAATTTTCGGCGCGTTTGTACGCAACAAAGTTGTAATAAGTCCTCCGCAATATTTTCAAAAAAACAAAATAATAAGTGTACTCACCTCTATGCCTATTAGTTTGCTTATCGAACATCAGCATAGCATCCTCGATCTGAAATATAAAAAGAATGACATCGTCATAAAAAGATTACTTCATTTCAATATACATATATACATATAATAATTTAAAACTTAATCTAATTAAGTTAATTAAAATAATTAAAATATAGCTTTTTATTATTATTAAAATATACTTTTATTATTTTGCCGATATTATTCTTTAATTAAATTATTTTATTAATTTCTTTTAATTTGAATGTTGTTTACTATAGCGCGCGCGCACACAGACATATATGTGTGTGTATTATTTTTACCATGTGATTATTTTATTCTCACTATTAACGATTCGTAAACATATTGGAGCAATTATTTATAATATTTAATGTATATCGCGCAATTTATTTATTTAAAATAGGAGATAAAAAAAGAGATAAAAAAAAGAAAATCTTAATATTTATTATATCGTGGCATTTATGTGTAAATTATACCAATAATTATTTCTTTAACAATGCTTGTTGACTCGAATATATTTCGCATTGCGCTTAAAATTTTTCACCGATATATAGTTTATTACCATTATCACATTTCTGAACTAAAAGAGAGGAGTAGGACATACGAATCGCCGAATCAAATAATTTAGATGATGAAAAGCCGTTGTATGTATCTCACAATCCATTTATTATCAACCAAAAATTAGAAGGCGAGGAATAGAATATTCAGGGAAAAATTATTTTGTAAAGCATTAAATACAAAGTAATATTTCGCAAGACGACAACAAATCGGTTCTGATGTTTATTTACGCACGCGTCGCTGCGTATACAAGGTTGTTATCGTATAAGGTCCTTTATCATTCACGCGGCGAGACTCGAGTCGATAAGTAATGGCTTGTTTGCTATCCCTCACGAACGATCAAAATTAACGATCATCATTCATATAATTAACTGCACAATTAAAAATTCGTAAACGTGACAAGCAGCTATTAACTAAAACAAATACTTGTCACAATTAATTTATACGAAGTAGAAATACGAAGTAGAAGCGATAAAGAATGCAAACGTTCCGTTACGACATATATGCATACATCCGATAATTAATTTCTTAACAATTCGTATATACATTTGCTATATCCAAATATATCTCGCCTGACAATTAACATTCAATCGAACGATCGAAATAATAAAGAGCCGTTATGTATCAACCGTTTATTAATATTTATTTTATTAATATTTATTAATATTGCGATACAATAAACAAAATATTCGGTATATTTATATTATATAATTGTATTATACAAAATGCGATATTTTTTAGGCTCTTATAATTTATATTTTTATTTAAAAATATTTTGTGGAGATAAAGCAAATATTGGCCGGCATTCGATTTTTTGGTATTCTTTTGAAGCATATACTTATATTGCATCATCGACTTTTCATTGACGGAACCCTCCCAATGTGTACACCTTGACGTTGGTGGGAGGACTCAGTACCTGGAGGGTTTATCCTGAAGGGAAAGCTAAGTACCCAAAACACAGCATTGCCACGAGTCGTAAATGGCTCATATGCGTTGAGTGGACATTACTGCGTCGATTTTCAATGCTGCGGATAATTGATCGCGTCTTCGCGTGATATCCCGATTTCATTATTGTCATCGAGGATCGTACTTATTTTTGATCGTGGAATTCGGGAGTGCCGTCTAAAATATGGCGCGTTTAAGTGCGGGAGTGCCGTTCAAAGTGTCGCGCGTGTGAGTCAACAAATTCTGACGACCCTGACAATTTGAGAGGATGGGAAGGCCTAGGAAAAGCATCGGAGAAACCCTAAGGTATTTATTATTTGTATATTATTTACTATAAATCGTGCACGCGCATTAATTCGGTTTATTTATTTAAATGATTTAAGCGAAATAAAACCAGAGAGAAAAACTTTTATATAAATCCTATAAAAGTTTCTATTTAAAAGAAATGGTCTTTTTAAAATTTATAAAATTTTTCTATATTCAACTGTTTTTTATATTGTACATAAAAATCGGATATAAAAATCGGCGCGCACTATAATATTTCTTTGAGATATTAATTATTTTGAACGCTGTTATAATTTGGATTTTATATTTATATGTTATAGAACAACATAGCTTTAATATCATCAACTCCGCTGTTGGGCATCGGTGTCGGTGAGTGATAAATTTTTATTTTATTTTAAGATAACATATTTGTAGAGATTGTAAATAGATCCGTTACCCTAAAATGGAGGAGATAGAACAGATTAGGTCAAATAACTTTTAATAAATTCTTTCAATATGCATCTATTGTAAAAATAAATTGAAACATAAATTAAAGAAAAGGGGGATTATATACATATGTGTATAAAAGAAACATTTCTTTCAATTAGAAAATTTTATCTAATTTATTTAATGAAAAACACACTAGTAATTTTATTAATTATATGATAGTAACTTATTCTTATAACGCGCGCTGATCTTATCCTAATTTTTTATAGCCCATCCGTCTATGTTCTAGAACTTGTTTAGTAGAAACTATATTTTTAAACTTCGCTTTAACTGTTGTAAAGCCAAGCGATCAATCAATTGAATTACCTGTAATGTGATAATAAATAACATAAATGTCGAATTAATTTTATTTTATTGTAAATAAAATTTTATTATAAATTATTATTATAA